TGAGGCCTAAAGGGTTAGAGAAAACGAAACTCATTGCCCGAAGAATGTGGAGGCCACTTCACAGTTATTTGCTTAAGAAGCTCACGCGGGTCCAAAGCTATACATAGACACAAGACGAAATGTGGATTTCTAAGGATAAGTGACCAGCAAGATCGCCAGCTTATTCGTTGCGGACGACGAGATCCACCACTGTCGAGGAGATAGTGGCGACTCGTGCGTGATTCTGACCAATGTGGAGAAAACTTTCGCGGCACTTAGTTCTATCTAAAGATGTGCTTGCCGGTAAAAACAGTGATATCGGAAGGGCAATTTTGGCTTATTTGACGTCCCAGCTAATGATAACTCAGTCCTAGGTTGTACATCCGAGACTCGAAACCTGGATCGGCTAATCGTCGAAAAACGCTCCCACTGCACCAAGGGACTTGAGTCATGCCAGGTGAGATCGGAAGTATTTAGTCGTATGACAGTGGCGTGCACTGATCTATCCTGATTACATGAGAGGGGTGGGCATATCCACTTTGCCTTAGAGCTCAGGGTCATCTAAAAGCCATATATTCCTCTACCTATCACGTTTTACAATGGCTGATGGTGAGAGTGGGGGCAGATGCTCTTCAAGTATACCTCCCCGTCCAACATGATGCACACATGCTGGTCCTCAAGCCATATGAACTAGCTTTCACTGGGCCCACTTGCCCAGGTACAGAACATGAACCATGCACACACACGCATTTGCAAACTGAATAGGTAACGAAGGCTGTGACCACATCAGAAAAGTAGAGAAATGAGCTGTCGATACATGGAACCTGTGTGCGGAAACGGGCGTGTTAAAGTTGTTTTCGAAGTTATGGGAAGCCATCACACAACGCAAAGAAGCGGGAGGCGGTACGAAACATATATTAGTTGAATTTAGAAAAGTAGCAGACGACACAAGTCATAAAGTAGCGGGGAGCCGACTGATTGAGAAAACGAACATGAGAAGACTCTGTAGGACGCCGCAGACAACTGCATGCCATTCGCCGAAAGGTAGTCCCATTGAATGAAAGACGCCAGCTATGACCAGACCTACAGCAGAAGGGAGAAATGTTTCAAGCATTATGCCTGTGAAAGTAGAAACCGTAAAACGGGAGGCCCTACGAAAATACTTCCGCAAATTTATTCCATCAACCGAAGGATTATGAAGTAACAGAGACCTTGTCATAAAATCGTAGCGGTACGAAGGCTTGGTCATATAGAAATGGGCAAACTACACTTGGCTGCGGCAAATGCCCTTGCATTATTTGGTTTGGACCATATACAAGGCCAAATAAAACACTTGGCTTTAAGAACACAAGATTACTGGGGAATTCGTGCAGGATTCGACTAGAAAAGGGTTTGCCAAAATAAGTGTGTGAATCTCTGTCAAGCTTGTCCAAACTACGTCTGGATTGCCAAGGATTAATTGCTTTCATCTGTAATGCGAAGCTACGGCAGCGAGTTCAGTAACTGCTTTCGGAAGGAACAAATGAAAAAATTCCCCGTTAAATAAAGTTCTGTTTTTGCTCGTCTAAGATGAGACCAAAGCCAAGAAAGCGGAGAACCTCGAAAATAGGTGTTACGAGATTTAATGGCGTATTGCACGCTGATACTTTCCCATGGGACCATAGTACAGCACACCAAACGACCTTCAAGAGTGACTGTAAACTCAAAAACTGGTTTTACGTGAAAAGTGATGGTTCCATGCACGTGTTATCAATTTCTTATGCTAATTGCTAGACGTTGCCAAAAGCACATATTAGACAACGTCCCCTTCGGAAGGGACATCTGTCTAAATTGAGTAATTAGGCGCGAACGGCTCCGAAAGACGAGAATACCAGCTAGATTGTAACATTAGGTCGCGGACTCGGACAGTATTCGAGGAAGTCTGAGTAATTGTCGGATGTAAAATCCGGAAATATAGGGTTATGGAATATTATGTCGCAAGGTGCTTTTGTGAGGTAGGATGTGGAAAAACTAGTAATCCGCCATGCCTGCGTAGTATGTGTACATAAAGGGCCTCAGCGAAGTGCACCCAAGCGATCGCACCATGCTATTCGTGCAAAACTGAAAATATCTTGTTTTTGATTTCTTCCAAACGTCCACAAGAGTCGGAAAAGCAAACAGTACCATTCGTGCGGAGTAGCTACGCGGCCCTTAAGAAGCACTATCCACAGTTAGCAGTTTTCCGCACGATGCTAACTACCCAACGAGCTACGGGCCTGTCCTCTGCCAGCTGGGATCGTGAAATCTTCTTAAGGTCACATTCACCGAGTTATCCCGATTGCCAAACGGAAATAGTGGTTAGGGTGAAACAATAGTCTGCAGGTCAATGTATGGTGTAATCTACTAATATCAGCAACTTACGTCAATTTGAATGTCGAGTTAGCGGATGCCCGTATCAGGGACAACCGAAAAGCAAAAATCAGTAACAAAATGGTATTTAAGCGAATTGTAATTTTTCCTATTACTTGTGACAGTTGGTCTGTAATTCGCTCGGTTCCCCAAAACCCAACTACTAACATAAATTTTAACTATTATGGTTGCGGCAGTCATACCTAACTGCAATGAAATTCGTGTCGATGTTCGACTAGCTCGATCGCCCCAATGCTGGCCTTGCACTTTTTCCCTTTTCGCGCGATCCGCCGGTTAGATTGCGAGGTGAGCTCAAAATAGCGACCAATCTCGAGTTTGACCGGTCGAACTGTTGAGCTCGAGAAGAACCCGATTCGAGTTCGTCTCGAGTTCAATTGTTGTCAGGGCACGGTACCGTGCACAATTGAAGCTCGAAAAGAGGAATTAGCGCTGTGAGCAAACAGCAGTGGAAAAAATATCGACTTGGGAAGTTTTGTTACCGTTACAGAATAAATACGCCCTTTTGTCTTGGGACGAAACATTCTCAAATTAAGAAAAAATTAACAAATGCAGGAATACCGCCTGGGGAACTACAAAAAGTGGGAGCAAACAACTAAAAATTACTAGCATGCTCGAGTCTATTTTACGGATAGGAGGAGGACTATGGAAACTAGCAACGGTGTTGTGTAGTCACGAGTGAATACAAAATATTTATATGATTCGCAATGTCTAAACAGCCTTTAAGAAACAATGTGCAAAAATTGCATGACAAAGTGGGCCACTTACAGGTAATGAGTACCACGGTAAAGGTACTAATTAAACCAAGGATAACTATCAGCAACGGAAAGTAAACCCTTGCACGTTTGTGCACACGAAGGTTGACAAATGCGATTACAGTCGCAATTCCATAAATAACTCCATTGCAGCTTGCAGCCCATAAGAAAATGCTCCACCAAATATCTTGAAAAATGTTATAAAAATGAGACAACTTACACTCAAACGTTGTCCTACCACCCAAACCCTCCAGAGAACCCATTGAAAGGCATCCAAATCTCTGTTTCCAACTTGGCGCATTTAAACACACATCCTTGATCTCTTCAATACACGATTCGCATCGAGCAGATTTTCAGAGTTTACCGATGATCTCAGGGATCTCAAACTTCCTGTAGCCTTTGTTTATTGACGTCGCTCGCTTGCTGGCTCGAACTAAGGACTGGGGTGTTGAGAGTAATCGGGAGAACAGTGTACACGTCCAAGGAAGATATCAGACCGCAGGCCATCGGACGGATGAGGATGATGCACTCATCACCGAGATAAAAGAAATTTGTCAAAGCAAACACAAATTGCTACTTGGTGACTTCAACTCTCCGGACATCGAGCTGCATTTGATACATTGCGCGCAATCAGAAAACTCCTTCGAACAGAAATTCATTCAACTGATCACAAATGAGTTCATTACCCAACATGTTAAAGTGGACACTTGATTCAGGGGTGTATAGCAGCCCAGTTGTTTGGACCTCGTAATCGTTGAGGATAATGTTTACATGCTCGGATTGGGATCGCACACGCCCCTTGGCCGAAGTGACCACTGCGTTCTTGTTTGGGAGTATAGTCATTTTTCTGTACCCGAGATTCGAGCTGCTGAAGAAAGAAATGCATGGAAAGGGGATTATCCCTGAAGTAAAAATCTACTACCGAAGGTGAACTGTAATGCAGCACAAGAACCTGACATAGAAAGCGATTGGGTCTTCTTCAAGAACGTTATGCAGCGATTGGTAGAGAGCCGTTGCCCACTGAAGAGGAAGCTGCGCACTTCCCGACCACAGTGGGTGACGTCAGGAATAAAGAAGAATGTTAAGTTAAAAAGTATACCTTTTTAAAAGTACGCCAGATGTCAGAATTCAGAGCATTTCGCTGACTTCAAAAAGAGATAAATATATGTCGGAATCTACTGAGGAAGGAACGGGCAGTATTTGAGTCAAAACTTCTTAAAAAATATCCAGCAAAATACCAGAAAATTCATTGGATACGTGAAGAAGGCAAAACGCAACAGGGACTGCACTCCCTGTCTAAAAGATCGCCAAGGAAATACGTTGTCTGACAACACAGATAAGGCGAACCTGTTGTCCGATTTCTTCATGTCCGTGTATACCGAGGAGCCGGCTTTTGATGAAACAGCTTACCACCCAATTGTCAAATCAAGAAATACAATTAGCACGGTGGATTCTGTTGAGAGTGCCTACACTCCGAAAAACAAGAGCCAGCCAACCACTGCAGGCCACTTGCTTTTTCTCCACAGCGCTGTCATCTTAATCGTGGCGCCTCTCTATTGGCCTTTCCCCACGGGCCTGATCGGTCTGCGTATTCGTCTTATCGACAAGCCCATATGGAATGTTCTTCCCGTGGGGGCATTGAGCCGAATGCCGGCGAACCATAGTAGGGCGTTATAAATATGCGTTACTCCCACTTAATCTTGACTTGCGAATTCCTAATACACATTTTCGTGGCCGGTCGCGTTCTCCTTCTCTGCCGCGTTGGTATTGGGGACAAGAGTCGGATACGCATACGCTCCCACGTGCTCTCAAGTATCAGGCCGTGTCATAACAAATTGGCGACGCAGTTTTTCCACTATAATGGCTGACGAGTACGCCGACTCGAAGCAACTGTTGCAGCAGCAGCTGACGCTGAGCGTGGCTCTGACCGTCAAGATACTCAATTCACCTATGGGCCAATCAAGCGCGGCTGGTGGTTCATATTCTGTCAATCACATTGACAGCAACATCACTGAATTCTTTTATGACCCGCAGGCCCATATCACCTTTGATTCCTGGTACAAACGATAGGAAGACTTGTTCGCTGTCGATTTGGCTGCCCAGGACGATGAATTGAAGGTTCGACTTTAACTTCGCAAACTGGGTCCGGCAGAACACGAGTGTTATGCCAACTTCATCCTCCCCAAGAATCCCCGAGAAGTCACTTTCAAGGACACGGTTCAGACGCTGTCGTAGGTTTTTGGCTGGCAATTATACCCTTTTAGCACTAGATTTCAGTGCTTGCAACTGTGCAAACGAGATTCCGATGATTTCATCACGTATGCATGCACTGTCAATCGTGAGTGTGAGCTTTTTCAACTCCGTTCTCTGGCCGAAGGCCAGTTTAAATGCCTTATATTTATCTGCGGCCTCCATTCCTCCAAGGATGCTGATATCCGCACACGTCTCCTGTCCAAAGTGCAGCAGAACAACTTAATCAGCTGACAGCAGAGTGCCAAACGCTTCTCAACCTCACACACGCCTCCGCAATGATTCAGAACCCTTTGTCATCTTTCTCAGTCTACACGGTCACACTGACCAAATCGCATCCTGTTACACGGCCCAAGCAAGTGTCCAAGGCGAGATCTCCGCCATCTTCTTGTCGACACTGCGGCACGTGGTATTTTCACCGGGAGTATACTTTCCGCCAGCATCGCTGCCAAATCTGTAGTCAGGTGGGACACCGTGATGGGTTCTGCAAGTCGAAACCAGCTTCTGGAAACGAGCCAACCCCCGCCACTTCTAGTTCCATGCACCGTTTCCCGGCCAAAACGCAAGTCCAAACCCCAGTCAGTTGGTAATTCTCTCTGTCTCTTGACCGCTTTTCAGCTCAATGTATCTGGTCATAGAAAGTTTGTTGACGCTTTGCTAAATAGATAGATAGATAATTTTTATTAAAGACCCGTCGGGGTCTCATCAAAGCAAGTTAAAATAAATTTGCATGCGAGTTTTAGACGAGGTAGGCCGAATCTTTACAAAATGCAATTCCTAGTTTCTGAATTAGAAGTCCATTAAGAAACATGATGATTGAGGGCGAAAAAAAAACTCCTTACAAAAAGTTAAAAATGATTGGATTAATTTTACAGGAGAAAAAAAAACCCTCAATAAAAATAATAACAGAAAAAAGCGAGCAGGACTGGCCTGTAGGCGGCGGTATATAACGGAATGTTGTCGGTCATAGACAGGGTAGCAATAAATCTCAGCCTTGAGGGGTACGAATGTGGGTCAGACAGGACTGGCTTGCAAATGGCATTGTATACGGGATTCACAATTGAGATCGTCTGGGCCGGATTGGTACGCCGCGTCAAAGAGGCCAGACGAGAGGAACCGAGATGCGATCGGCCACAGCACGCTTCGAGCTCAGCCGAGCAGCGAGAAAGGGAGGTACGACCGAACTACTAGTAGACAGTGAATACTGAGGGTTCCATCGTGAGCATCGACAGACCGCATGAAGTCGGAATGCGGGAGATGACATCAAAAACCGCGAAAATTGTCGCTATCGGGGGGGGAAGGATAGCAATGGATTTAGAAACCAATTCAAAACAGGGGTTTCTAATGACATAATTAAGAGTTACCACTTAATCTACCACTAAATCCCAGGAGGACCTCTCTCGAAGTCAAGAATCTGAGTGTTCGGGAATGAGACCGTTAACAGTGCCTTTATGCTTTCCGGTGTAAGATGTTTGCGTAATTTCGACTTGAATACCAGTAACTTAGGCGTTAATCTAATTTCAGGCGGAAGATTATTCCAAAGGAAGGCATATTTGGAAGCAAAGAAGAGGGAGCGCTTAGATGTAGTACAAAGAGGCGGCGGAATCACCATGCAGGAGTTGCGCGTGGCATAAGACCGATCTCTCGGAGTGAGAGTGTCAATGTGCGGAAGACTGGAGCTAGAGTTGATGCGAAAAAGGAAGCAAAGGCCAGCTTCGAGTCTTCTAACCCACAAAAACTTAATGTTCGCCAGCTGACATCTCTGAGTACAAGAAATACTGGACGAAGCTTGAGAGAACAGTTTACGGGTGAAAACCCTCTGAACATTTTCGATTTTATTACGGTCGCAGGCGTTCATTAAACCGAAGTAAGGGCAGCAATATTCGAGGACTGGAAGGACAAACATTTGATAAAGTCCTAGCTTCATTTCCGGAAGGAAAAAATTATGCGATATGAATCCGCATATCTGCGCGGCCTTGGCAGAGATTCTATCTGCATGAGGTGATAAAGCAAGTTTATTTGTATAACTTAGACCTAGGTCCTTTATGGTGAGGCATTCTGAGAGTGGGTTATTCTGAAAAATTTTGGGACCAGGAAGTTTGGTAGGACCAAAAAACATGAAACTACAATTGGATGATGAAAACTCTATCAGCCATGTCGAACCCCATCTGCTTAAGCGTAGTAAATCGGCATTAATTTTTTCAAGACAAACGTTTGCGGTGTCCTTAGAATATGAGTAAACACACTTGAGGTCATCGGCATAAGTAAAAGTTTGCGAATTTCCGAGTTCAGTCGAAATATCATTGATGTACAGAAGGAAGATTAGCGGACCCAGAAGCGTTCCTTGAAGTACGCCACTCGTGATCGGGCGAGGTGTCGTGTAGTTGTTACCAGCCATGACTTTCTGATATCGGTTGGACAGATAGGACCTGATGAAGTCGAGTAGAGGCGGCCGGATGCCGAGAGCTTCCAATTTTACTAAAAGACGTCTATGGGGCACCTTGTCAAAGGCTTTGCTAAGATCAAAGTAAATAACTACCACTGACTGCCGCCCATTACGAAGAGAAGTGACTAGATTAAGAAAAGCCAAGTGGCATGTTTCGCAGGATCGTTCAGGTAAAAATCCATGCTGACTGAAGCTCAGAAGCCGATTAGCTAGACAGAAGTCAAGAATTTCATTGAAAATAATCCTTTCAAGAAGTTTTACTAGAGACGGCGTTTTGTGCACGCCCCGATAGTTATTAACATCGGACCGAGATCCTGACTTGAAAACGGGAATGATAATTGACGTCTTTCATGTTTCAGGAAAGAATCCTTTTGAAATATAAACCTAGAATAAATGACTAAGCAATATGGGAAAGTCGGACGCTTGTTTAATAATCGAATTCGGAATCCCGTCCGTTCCTGTGCAGTGTGAGTATTTCAAACGGCTTACATGTTTCTTAATGAGATCTGAGGAGACATCAATTGCACTAAGTGTCCTATCTGAAAGTGATCGAAAGAAAGGGACCGGATCGGACTCGGTAGCAAGGTGTTTTGCAAAGAAAGCACTAAATAACTCCGTCTTGTAGGTATCCTCGATGAGGAAGACTTTGTTATCATTTAGCAGGGGTGGAAGTTGTGACCACGCTTAGAAGAGGACCGATGACGGAAGATGTTAGCGACGGATTTGCCAGGGTTCGAACCACTGAGAGCAATTGATTCTCTTTACCTGTCGCGCGCTCGGCGCATCCTTGAGGCCATCTCAAATATCTCTGTGATTCTAAGATGAACAGATAAGGAACTAGTGGATGGGTCACGCAGTTGTCGCCTCAACTTTTTAGTCTCTTCTGAAGAAAATGTGGAACAAGGGAATCTGAAGAATTAGGCTTGAGATATCTACGCGGCTCCAACTCTAGGATGTCCATGGAAACATTGGACATGTCGTCATGAAGAATGCTCGCCTCGCTACGGGTTAGGAGGCCAAACCAATCCTGAGATCTAATATAGTTATTTATTAAGTCGCTATCTACGCAGTCGTAGTTCATGAAAGTCTGAACGGCGCTTGTCTTTTTCGAAAAGGCATGCGGTAGGCAACAATGAATTAATACGTGGTCACTGTCAAAGAGGTCCTTTTTTAAAGCAACAGAAAGAGGAGCAATGTCATTGGTAAAGATTAGATCTAAAATGTGATTATCTCTTGTTGGAGAGCGCACCAGTTGGGACCAATTAGAAAAATTGACAATATCTTGAAAGGGCTGGAATCTGGGGGGGCAGCTATTGGAAACCCAGTCAATTTCAGGAAGGTTTAAATCCCCAGTGATTATTTTAACATCGAAAGCAGCTTCCGAAATTAATTTAAAGATTTCACAGGGTTGTGAATCATCACTGGCTAAAGAATTTGGGGGATTGTAGATACAGCCAATAATTGCCTTTCTTTGCGGCGAGAGAATAACAGATGCAAAGCAGAAGTTTCCCGTGAATGAGGAAACATCCAAGTAATAGGTAGAGTGCTTTAGGTAGGATTTCAGATAAAGAATACAACCACCCCCACGCCTAGTCGTGCGGTCTTGGCGGTAAAAATCGAAGTCATCTATGAGAAGGGCAGAGTCAGGAATTAGAGTATGGGTCCAAGATTCTGTTACACATATAATATCAGGCGTCATTTCCAGAGCAATGGCTCTGATTTGGGCCATCTTGTTTATAACAGACCTGGCATTCAATAATATAATATATAATGTGTTTCGAACGGCAATGCTATTTTCAACGGTATTTTAAAAAAAATTTGGAGGCGGATATGTAAGCTGCGAATTAATGACACTTGGAGAATAAGTACCAGTTAATTTAGAGTTATTGACGTACGGGGAGTCAGCAAGAGAAGGCTGAGTATGAGACCTAAAGGAGGTGGGGATATAGTTTTCGAGCATTGGAATGCTAGGGGGGTTAGAACATGGATAGACTTGTTGGTAGTTAAATAATGGAGGAAGGGGAGGAGGCGGGAGGCTAGAAGGAAAGTAGGGGCTAATGGGTGAGGGTAGGCCACAAAAAGACTGAAATGGTGGGAAACCAGGTCTAGATTGGAAGTCAAAGGAGATAGGTTGACGCACCTGAGAGCAATTGGCCTTAAGTTTTGGGAAGCCTGAACTAGGTTGGGGCATAAATGATTTAGGGCAATTCATATGTGAATTATTTGCTGGATATATAGTAGGGCTTTGATAAGTAACCGGTACGCAGGACAGAGGATTATTTGGGGATATAATTGGAGCTGCGAGGTTTGTAGACGTGCTGGGCTGTAAAGGCTCTGCAGATCTAAGCGAAGGCGGCGTACCCACAAATGGAAC